AACCCGGGCCCTCGGGCAGTGCCCGAGTTTGCAAATGGTCAGTCCACCCCTGCTACAGAGAATATCCTGTATTAATGGAATTTACCCAATAGCACCATAAAGTACAAAAACCAGAGACAACAGTTTGACTTTTAAAATCTCATCTTCTTTCAGCTTGTAAACAAATTTGGTGCAACCTACGTACGTGTAATGTACAGTAGTAATCAGGGGTGGACAGACAACTCATGGGGCCATCGGGCAATAGGGGATCATGGGACCCCTGTGTCCTCACCCACACTCAAAACCACACCCAAAAAGCCTATGAAAGGTACTAGGGACATCTCATGGGGCCCCCTACTGACCCTGGGCTCTTGGGTAGTGCCCTAGTGCCCGAATGGTCAGTCCGCCCCTGGTAGTGATGGTCCTCTCCATCTAGCGGATGACGTGCACACTACTTAGCTCAATGTTATTCCACTAGAGTGCCCACTAGAGCGCCTAATGTTATCCCACTAGAGAAACCTCCAGAAACCAGCGAGGGGGGCCCTCAAGATTTTGAGTGCATAGAGGCCTCCACCTAGTTTAATCTGGCACTGTTTGAAAGAGTAAGGTCCTTTGCACACTTGACCGCCCAGATGCAGTGCGGGCTTCCTGCAACTTTAAAGCATCCAGCCCCCACTTCAGCCAGCCTGTCAAAGTCTATGGCAGCCTGGGGCTGGTCCCTATGGTACCAGAGTTCAGATCCCTGTCCATTCGGGGACAAGGTTCCAGAACGCAGATCCTACTGGGAGTGCTGATTGAGACTTTAAGCAAGTTGCTAGCAGGCTTCAGCAGGTTGTCAACAAGCTTCAAGAGGTTTTGAAGCATGCTAGCAGCTTGTTTAAAGTGGCAGTCAGCACTCCTATTAGGATCTGTGTTCAACATTTACAAAATGGACCTGAATGCTTCAACAAATATTGCTGAAAGCTCTGCAAATGCTTTGTCAATGCTTGCCATTCACAGTGCTCTTTTACAAACTGAAGCCCTTGTGAAACAGGCCTAACGGACTGGTGTCCAAGCCGGGACACAGTCAAATGCCAATGTGAAGGAGTCCATACAATGACCATATGAAAAAGGTGCAGAGATTTCAGATGCAGTGAGGCTTTACTAGTATTGATGGGCACACTTTAGTATGGGAGAAGGGGGCTTACTGTATACCAGGGCTTAAAATACCTTAAAAAATGAAAAAGAACCAAGGATAATGCTCTCCTTCCCTTCCCAATTCTTTGCTAACTTGGCACGACCAGCATTAGGAAATGTCTTGCATTTTTCTAAATTAATGCAAAATGTTGTCTGATTGGAAGAGGTGGAGAAGTGGGGCAATGATGTCAGGGTCTCCACCCTGCCCAATCAGAGAATACTTTTGTAGCTAGGGGAGCTAGTGCTCAATTGTTTGGCAGAGGCTGAGCAGCAGACTATGGTGATAGTCAGAGGGAGGTCAAATTCGGGTCAGAGCTGAGAGGCTCTGCAGGCCAATTCCCTGATACCTCCCCGTGCTCTAGAATCTTGGAGAAGATTCTAGAAGCAGTGGGTAGGGATGAGGAGGGGCTGGCCTGCACACTTGGAGGACTTTGGCCAGTCCCCAAGCAGAAGGCTTGGCATGGGGCCAGGGCAGCCTTCAAATGTGACAGAGCCTTCTCAGCAGCAGGAGAGTTTGGGTGGAAGATGAGGTGAGAGGCTGGAGAGCAGGAGCCTGGGATGAGGGCCAGATGGGAAGGGGCTCACCTACAGGCAGGGAAGCTGGAGAGTAGGAAAGCTCAGAACTACATTGGTCCCCAGAGTGAGGACCATCTGTGGAGCAGGGAAGGAGAGGCCCAGCAGAAGGCCTGAGAGCAGCCACCAAGTAAGTAGACCTACACCCCCTGGGCCAGAAAGGGGAAGAAGCACTCTAGTGGGAAACTGGATTAGCTTGCTACCTGAGATTGCCTTCTATTTTAAGTGACAGGCACTGGATCCCCTGTCCACGAATTCACCTAGTACAGCTGGATGAGGAGAGGATTCATCTTGGGTCTGGGGTGGTACACCAGGAGATTCTGGCTAGCTCTCCAGAACATAATTTTCTGCTGTTAAAGAGACTTGTACATTGTTCCAGGTAGAATGTCCTCTGTTGCCATTCCCTTTGGGCATCCCATACATCCCGTACCCCATCCAAGTTCAATTCCCCTAATAAAAACCTTAAAAAAAACCAAGCTCAAAGACTGGTTACTGTGTCCTAGATGCAAGTCTGTGTCAAAACACGCGTGTTGCCTGGCTGTGCAGGACTATGAGGGGGCCCAAAAACTCAGGAACTCCTACGAGGGGGTAGTGCTACACTTCGCTCCACTGAGAGTTTCAGCGTGACATATCCAAGTATTTATTACCTCTCAGAGAGATCACAGTACTCCCCTGACGATGCCCTTATCTGCGTTTCTTTCCAGGACACCACCACATTTGTTCAGGCATCATCCAGAGTCAACATCTACTACTTCCTGGACTGAGACGTTAGCTCAGGGATGGTACAGCCCAGGGGCAGACTGACAACTCATGGGGCCCCCGGGAAATAGGGGATCATGGGTCCCCTGTGTCCTCGCCCACACTTAAACCACACCCAAAAAAGCCTATGAAAGGTACCAGGGGCATCTCATGGGGCCCACTACTGACCCCGGGCCCTCTGCCTGGTACAGCCATGTAATTGCTGGTGCCTGTGCAGTCCTTGATACTAATTTTTGACACAGATCGGTCCCAGGGGCGGACTGACAACTCATGGGGCCCCCGGGAAATAGGGGATCATGGGACCCCTGTGTCCTTGCCCGCACTCAAACCACACCCAAAAAAGCCTATGAAAGGTACCAGGGGCATCTCATGGGGCCCCCTACTGACCCCGGGCCCTCTGCCTGGTACAGCCATGTAATTCCTGGTGCCTGTGCAGTCCTTGATACTAATTTTTGACACAGATCGGTCCCAGGGGTGGACTGACAACTCATGGGGCCCCCGGGCAATAGGGGATCATGGGGCCCCTGTGTCTTTCCCAAACTCAAAAAAGCCTATGAAAAATGTACCGGGGGCATCTCATGGGGCCCCCTACTGACCCCGGGCCCTCGGGCAGTGCCGGAGTTTCCAAATGGTCAGTCCGCCCCTGATCGGTCCCTACTGTCACCTTGCAATCTGATCACCGGAAAGGAGTCCTTCAGCAGACTGATGACACCATCTCAGCCTAGGCAAAGTTACTGACTGGAGCTCAAAGAACGCTCTGTAATGATAAAAGTTTCTGCTGTATATTTTGACATGTCAGAAATGTATTCATGAAGACTTCTTAAGTAACTGAAATGTGCACATTAAGGTATATACAGCACCCCTCTCAATGCTCCCCACTTAACACCCGGCGGTCAGCTGTTTCAACAGTGCCACAGACTGGCTTTCTTCAACTCTCGCTGTCCACCTTCCAAACCCAACACTTTCCAGTTGGAATTGAGGCAGGTGCAGCCTGAAATCTGCTGAAAAGCAACGAGCTTCCAAAGTCGCACTGTGAAAGCACAGAAGCTCTGAGCATTGGCAGCCGCGGAATGGATGAAAAAAGCTGATCAGCATGAAACCAGACTTAGCCAATCAGCAACAAGGAGCATTTATTTTAACTGGATATTTTTTTTATTTTAAATGTAAAGGACATACAGGACTAATACTGTATAATATATTCTGCATTAATACAAGTTCTGTTCTCTGCAACTGGAGTGTGTGTAATTACTGTCCTGCACCACCCCACAGCCTAGGATGGCAAGGCATTCCCCTGCTCCCCTTCTGCAAGCCAGCAGAATGCGCTATCCACTGCTAACTCTTTCCTGTGAAGACTGGAAGTTCAGGGAAGCAGCACTGAGAAAGCAGGAGCCAACAGTAGAGGTAAGAATTATATATATATTCTATCTATTCAGTGATTGCACGGACCATCACTCACAAGCAACTTATTCCATGAATTCTCTTAGCAATTATTTTAACAGGGTAGGTTGCCAGGTCTCTCCCCAACCCCCACCATGCAGGAGATCCCACATAGCCAGGGATGAAACTAGGATAATTTAGACAGGAGCCAATTAACCCACCAGCATGTCTTTGGAGTGTGGAAGGAAACTCAAGTACCCAGAGGAAACCCACATGAACACAGGGAAAACATGCAAACTCCATGCAGGAGGCACCATGGTCAGGAATCGAACCCATGACCCATTTACTGCAAGGCAGAAGTACTAACCACTAAGCCACTGTGCCGCCTATATATATATATAGACACATACACACACTCACCGGCCACTTTATTAGGTCCACCTTTTCAATTTCTTGGTAACACAAATTGCTAATCAGCCAATCACAGTGTTTGCAGCTGCTGACTTTTAATTTTTTTTTTTTTGGGGGGGGGGGCGGAACTCCGCTTTAAGGGAATCCCAGGGGGTCCTCCAGGTTACCAGAACTAGTGTCCCCATTGGGGACAATCCAAAATTTGGGGTTTTCTTTCAATTTCACTTTTGATGATAATGATAAGCAGGACAAATAGAGAGGGTGAATCTCCCTAATGGGGGCACAGACAGCAATAAAAACCCGACCGAGGTTCTAATCCCTCTCTTTGTACCCCCACAAGATGGGGGGGGGGGTTGTAGTCCTTAGAACAAAAGTATTTGAGTACTATCTACAATATGTTTTTTCATTTGCACTAACATGCCATGCAATGGTGTATTTAGGTTTCATGCTGCCCTTTGCAACACACAAAAATCTGCTTCCCCCCCACGGAGAGACCCTGACACCGGCCAACACCCCCCTCTCCTACGAAGAGAGCCTGACATTGACCAGCAACACCCCAGCCCCCCCCCAACCCCCACCTGAGAGAGCCTTCCACTACCACCACCCCTCATACCCTGGCAACCCCCTCCACCCCTCAAGAGAGAAGACGCTCACCTTCACAGCTCCCTGGGACAGGGGCGGACTGACCATTTGGAAACTCGGGCCCCATGAGATGCCCCTGGTACCTTTATCATAGGCTTTTTTGAGTTTGGGCAAGGACACAGGGGCCCCATGATCCCCTATTGCCCAGGGGCCCCATGAGTTGTCAGTCCGCCCCTGCCCTGGGATCAAGAGTCAGGCTCTGCAAACACCCTCAAGCATCCCGCAGCCTCTCTCGGATCACACCTGGTCCCCATGCTGTGTGTGTCCCTTCTTCCATTCCTTCTTTTGGGGGGTGGTGCTGCCCCCCCAGAAAAATGCCGCCCTAGGCAAATGCCTTGTTTGCCTTGTGGTAAATAAACCCCTAATGCCATGTTAGTGCAACAAAAACAATTGAATGCTGTCCATGAAACCATCCAAATTTTCAGGACAAGCCTTCGGGGCGTACCCCATTCTTCAAAATCCAAGCAGAACTCAATGGTACTCAATACTGCTTGGATCTTGAAGAAAGGGGTACACCCTAAAAGCTTGGATGGTATCATAGACAGCATCCAATTGTTGCACTAACATGGCTCCAATCACCTCAAGCAGTCTCTACAGATAGCTAGGAACCAGGAGCGGACTGACCATTCGAGCACTGCCGAGGGCCCAGGGTCAGTAGGGGGCCCCACGAGATGCCCCTAGTACCTTTCATAAGCTTTTTTAGGTGTGGTTTGAGTGTCGGTGAGGACACAGGGGCCCCATGATCCCCAATTGCCCAGGGGCCCCATGAGTTGTCAGTCTGCCCCTGCTAGGAACAATTATTGTTATAGGTACTTATATAGCACCAACAATTTACACAGTGCTTTACACCTTTATTGTACATTCACATCAGTCCCCGCCCCCAAGGAGCGTACAATCTAAGGTCACACAGGCCAGCTTGCCTATTAGCATGTCTTTGGCGTGTGGAGGAAATCCATGAAGGGACAGAGAGAACATGCAAACTCCAGGCAGGTAGTGGCAGGGTTGAGATTTGAACCAACAACCAGTGGTGTATTTAGGTTTTGTGCTGCCCTAGGCAAGGCCCCTACCACTGCCCCCTCATACACCCCCATGGAGACAGCCTGACACCAACTAACCATGCCCCCCCCCCAGAAAGAGGCTGACACCGATCAACTGCATCATAACCCCCCCCCCCCCGCCACGGAGAGAGGCTGACAACGACCAACACCACCATCCACTCCCCTCCCGGCTGAGAGAACCTTTCGCTACCACTGCCCTCCATACACCCGCCATGGAGAGAGCCCGATACCAACTAACACCAACCAGCCATGCCCCCCTCCCAGAATGAGACTGACACTGACCAACTGAACCCTAATGCCCCTGCCACGGAGAGAGGCTGACAACAGCCAGCACCAGCACCCACTCCCCTCCTGGCTGAGAGAGCCTTCCGCTACCACTGCCCCCCCCCCCATACACCTGCCATGGAGAGAGCCTGACACCAACCAACACCATCCAACCATGCCCCCCCCCCCCCCAGAAAGAGACTGACATGGACCAAGTGCACCCCAAACCCCCGCTCCCCTGGCATGGAGAGAGGCTGACTATGACCAACACCACCACCCACCCCCCTCCCGACTGAAAGAGCCTTCCACTATCACCACCCTCTCCCCCAGCAGGAGAGAGAAAAAACACTTGCCTCTACAGCTCTGTACATCTCCGGGAATGAGTCGGGCTCTGTATACACTGTCAAGCAGGCCATGACCTCTCTCAGATCCAACCTGGTCCCCATGTCGTGTGTGTCCCTTCTTCCGGGGAGCTGCACTGCCCCCCTGAAAAATGACGCCCTAGGCAAACGCCTTGTTTGCCTCATGGTAACTACACCCCTGCCAACAACCCTAGTGCTGCCAGGCAGAAATGCTAAACACTGTGTTGCCCAACTAGGCCAATGGTGCAGCACAGGAAGTTTTTATCTCAAAAGATTTCTGGCAGAACCAACAAGTATTTTTTTTTTCTGCTTCTCGAACAGATATAACGAAAAGATTTTGAAAAAGAGAGCGACTAATAAAAGTTCATTGTTGGGGTTTCCATACACTTTAACACGTGACGGACTCACTTTTTATTCCATCGTTAAGTACTCTAAAAATTTTAGGCAGATGATTCATTTCCTGCTGGAGCGCTCTCCGCTCTCGCCGTCTTGTAACACATGTTCCGCCGGGAAATACAACATGTTCGATATTCAGATTAATTTCAAGAAGTGAGATTTTTCATGCCATCCCCATTTTTCTCTTCCCTTGGCTGCTTCCCATCCTTCACCGGGCAAAAAAACAAAATGATTAAAAGAAAATTACCGGAATCTCGGCCGTCTTCGCCGCACAGCAGGCTTGGTCACTTGGAAAATAACTAATGAATGTCGTTTGTTGTGCCGGTGACAAGTGAAACATTTTATTCCTCTTCATGCTTGGCACTCGCCGCTATTCCTCACTCCCGAACGCTCGTTTCTGCCCAAGTTTGTATTCATATCGGTTAATTTAATTAAATCCACGCCGCGAAAGGTCCATTAGAGGAGGTCAAGTGTGAAGGAAACTCTTCATTCTCTAATGCACGAACGGCAATCTGTGTATATGTGTCCTCGTACAATGTCAGTAAATCTATAATTTCATGTGGTAGGGTCTTAATGGAAAAAAAAAAAAAAAAAACAGGTCTGCTCTAATTAAAAGACAGGAGGATGCTTTGAAACTGTTTATGTTTTTCCTTTAATGGGAACCTAAAAGCACAGAAACAAGGAAGCTGCCATTGCTGGTTTGATTTTAAGGGAGAATTCCAATGAAAAGTAAACAAAACATAACTACTTCAAAGATAACATCAAAAAAATGCTTTTGTTCCAGGGTTGTCCCCTGCAGTACTTCCTTCCCACCACTAAATGTCTTTAGCCTTCCTTGTTGAAGGACATCCTGTGTCCCTCTGAGCCAAGAGCTGTCATGGACCCGCCCCCTGGCTGTGATTGGATTGTAAAATTGGATTGATAAAACTTATCTTGCTACTCTAATTTATTCTCCCATCAGCATGCTTGTCAGCACATGGATTGATTGCCTCCTTGTGCTGCTTCTTTCTCAGTAGTCTGAGCTCTTCTGTAGAGGAACTGAAATAAATGAAACAGAAGCAAATAATCCACCAGACTCTTCCCAGTGTGGGAGACGTAGACTCACACCACCATAGGACAGCTGGACTCTTCCCAACCAACTTCCTCCCCGCTCTCAAGCAGGCCCAGATCTAGGGGGGTGCTGGGGACAGTTGATGTAAGGGGGCACTCTGAGGGGGGTAATTGATGTAAGGGGGCACTCTGATGTGGACATTTATTGTAAGGGGCACTCTGATGTGGACAGTTGATGTAAGGGGGCATTCTGATGGGGACAGTTGATGCAAGGGGGGGGTACTCTGATGGGGACAGTTGATGTAAGGGGGCACTCTGATTGGGACAGTTGATGTAAGGGGCACTCTGATTGGGACAGTTGATGTAAGAGGGCACTTTGAGGGGGCAATTGATATAAGGGGGCACTCTGATGTGGACATTTACTGTGAGGGGCACTCTAATGGGGACAGTTGATGTAAGGGGGCACTCTGATGGGGACAGTTGATGTAAGGGGGCACTCTGATGGGGACAGTTGATGTAAGGGGACACTCTGATGAGGACAGTTGATGTAAGGGGGCACTCTGATGGGGACAGTTGACGTAAGGGGGCACTCTGATTGGGACAGTTGATGTAAGAGGGCACTCTGAGAGGGACAATTGATATAAGGGGGCACTCTGATGTGGACATTTACTGTAAGGGGGCACTCTGATGAGGACAGTTGATGTAAGGGGGCACTCTGATGGGGACAGTTTATGTAAGGGGGCACTCTAATGAGAACAGTTGATGTAAGGGGGCACTCTGATGGGGACAGTTGACGTAAGGGAGCACTCTGATAAGGACAGTTTATGTAAGAGGGTACTCTGATGGGGACAGTTTATGTAAGGGGGCACTCTGATTGGGAAAGTTGATGTAAGAGGGCACTCTGAGAGGGACATTTAATGTAAGGGGCTCTCTGGTGAGGACACCTGATGTATGGAGGGACTGTGACAGGAACTTTGATGTAAGGAGGAACTCTGAGAATAACTCCTGATATACAGAGGGACTGTGTTAGGGACACCTGATATAAGGGGGCACAGGTTCTGTTTAATCACCTAAACTAATGACAGCATTCCCAGTTCAGTCCTGCACCACCTCTGCACTACCTGGTGATGACTCCATTGTACAGAAGTATGCCGAGTGAACAGGGAATACGGGTTCCATGCATCCTTGTCACACTACTGACATTATGCCCCCTGACTTTTTTACTGCACCCCCAGATCATACAGGCTAGATCCGGCCCTCCTCTCAAGTGCGCTTCTCCAGACCCAACCTGATCCCTGGACATAAGGTTGCGAACTGGCCCTCAGCTAAGCCTAGCTGAGACCTCGGTGTCTTCCTGATGACCTCTTCTAGGAAACTGCTCCAGGAGCACTGGACAGGGGTCTCCTCCAGCCGGACTGGACCCAGGAATTCTGCACATCCTGCCTCAGGCCTCAGACTCTTTTAAGGCTCACCAACCACCTACTAGGCACACATCCCCAGAGATAGGATGGAGTCCAGGGGCGGACTGACCAGGGGCAGACTGACAACTCATGGGGCCCCCAGGCAATAAGGGATCATGGGGCCCCTGTGTCCTTTCCCAAACTCAAAAAAGTCTATGAAAAAGGTACCAGGGGCATCTCATGGGGCCCCCTACTGACCCCGGGCCCTCGGGCAGTGCCCGAGTTTCACAATCGTCAGTCCGCCCTTGGGACTGACCATTCGAGCACTCGGGCACTGCCCGAGGGCCAGGGGTCAGTAGGGGGCCCCATGAAATGCCCCTGTTACCTTTGTATAGGTTTTTTTTGGGTGTGCTTTGAGTGTGGGCAAGGACACAGGGGCCTCATGGTCCCCTATTGCCCCATGAGTTGTCAGTCCGCCCCTGATGGAGTACCACAAATATTCATGGTGCCCACAGGGAAGACAGGGACGCGTAACAGAGCAGCAGCAGCATGACACACTGAGCAGCCCTAATGAATTAACCCCTGCTCCTCTGATCACAGGGGAGCCAACTAAATTTACCCAGGAG